TGGCAGGTGAGGTTTAAAAAAAAAAAAAAAAATTGTGACCATTGAACTTCAGAGATTTATACATTGGAACTGACACTTGTCTTCTGACCAATGCTGCCATTGCTCTGTGAATCTTAGATTTTGTAGCCAAGCAGAGTTGTGTAGGAGGCTAAAAACAAAAGACATTGGATATATTTAGAGCTGTCCCTGGCAGTATCAGCGTGTTTATGAAAGGAAAATCTAAACCAGAGGGAGGTTGGCCTGTGTAGTAGTAATCCTTTTCTGAATGTAACCCTTGCTATATTGTTTCAGGAGCTAGTGACAAAGTCAAAGGAGGGAGATTAGGAGATGGGTCTTTTCAGGCAGCATGAATAAAGAGCTTCCTATCCTTTGGCAGAAGCTCCTCTAGTTTGGATAGATTCCAAATCAAGAATCTAGAAATGTGGAAGTTTTAATTACAAGGCCTTGAACACAGACTTCCTAAACTCTTGCATCCCCTAGTGAGCTCTGATTTCTCAACTGCTTTGAAAATCCCATATTCCCTTTGCTAACTTACTATTTGGGGACCCTGCTCCTTGGCTGTTCTTTTCTTCCAGTCTTTGTCAGTCATACTTGTGGCACGTGTTTCTTTACCTACCACCCAGTTTTGTAGAGAGTCTTGAGAACAGTCTTACTCAGTTACTAGTAATGTGTTTTTATTTATTGAAAATTGTTTTGTGGTAAGGATTGTGTTAGATTTACAAATTAGTGAATTGATTCCTCTTTGTTGTGTTGCTTTCATTGTTGAAAATAAATAGAACTTTGAGTCTCCAAGTGTTTTTCTTTGATTGTATTCACAAAACCTTTCAATAGAAAAACCATGAAGGAATGGATGATTTTTGGCTCTTAATTAGGTCCAATAATGAACAAAGTGGTTTCATTTTAGAACTAGTAGGCTACTAGAAAGATGCTAGTTCTTCTGAATGGAGCAGAGAGAAGATCTGCATCAAGGACTGTGAAAGATGGAGTGAACTACTAAGAGCTGGAGTGGAGAGGAGCCCATCAGGAACCAGCAGGTGTGTAACAGAAGGTGTCGGTTCCCTACCCATGTTCTCTGGGCACTCACCATTCCAGCATATGCCACTGATAGGAGTCCCACTGCAAGTGCCTGCTGAAGCTTTCCCTCTGCTTGAAGTGCCGTGGAGTTAATGCCCCTGGGAGTGGCTTTCAGTCGATGGTGGATGAGAATTAGAGGACGCAGACCCAATTTCCTTGCTGTCCAGAGAAATGACACGACTGAATCTTTGAGAATTACCCCCTGAGTGGGATAACGGTGTCCATGCCACCTGTGAGAGATGCCCGGCAGAAATAAGCAGAGTGGCCCACAGTGGCAGTCTGTGTATACATGCACCCTGCATAGGCTTCCTTCTCTTGTTTGGCATCTGGACTTCCTGAGAAGTACATCCTGAAATCATCAGTTACACACACATTATTAGAGTTCAGTTCTGGTGGAGTCCAACCTAAATCAAAATGCTTCACTTTGCCCTTTAGTATGTTGAAAGGATACAACTGCTCCTAGTAGTACCTAGCTCACTCTAGGAGTAATTTTTAAGTAGGTATTGGGAAAGATTGGGTGGTGGGCATTTGTTTAAAATGTGTTATCCAGGGGCGCCTGGGTAGCTCGGTTGGTTAGGTGTCTAACTCTTGATTTCTGCTCAGATCATAATCTCAGGATTGTGAGATCGAGCCCTGCATTGGGCCTTGTGCTCAGCATGGAGTCTGTTTACGATTCTCTCCCTCTCCCTCTGTACCCCCCCCAGTTGTGCTCATGTGTGCATACTCTCTCTTTCAAATAAATGAATAAAAATGGAGATGTCATTTAGGTTGTTTATAACCTAGTAAGGTTACTACAGTTTTTACAGGGCTAGAAATTTCAGTTTTGTCAAAGCATGTGCAAAAGGGTCTGATTCATTATATCTAGACTCCCAAAGATGTGTAAACTAAAGCACTCATTATAAACTAATAACTTTCAAATACCTGTTTTTGCAATTTCTCTGGCATTCCATTTCTTAAGCTAAGAGGTATATGTGGGGAAACGTTATCAGAAGTATTTTTGGGAGCACAAATCAAAGCAAGGAGCATGAGTTGAATTTTAATGGTTAATGGTATTGAGCTATGGCTGCATCTGCTCAAATCCTAAAGTCAGGATCCCCTCCCTTGACCTGCCAAATTCTTGTTTTTTGGGTTTTCTTGACTTGATGAGACTTGTGCACTGGGAAACATCATGTCTTACTCATTTTAGCTCTTGAATTCTGGGCCTTCCTCATTATTCCCTCCTACCCCCACACTTCAGCTTTTGAAATTTGCTAGGCCTTAAATAACTTCTGTACCTTCATTAGTGGCAGAAACATTTTTTTCTGTCTTCTCTTTGCAAACTGCAGCAGTGGATTATGCTCTTGGTATTCAGTTTTCCTTTTTTCCCTGTACCTTTTAAGCAGATGCAGTTGCATTTTAAAGGTTTAAGCTGCCGCTGAATTCTTGAGATCTCTCGTTTTTGGTCTAATGCTGTTTGTTGGATCATATACTCCCTCTGCCTATACCCATAAGTTGCATTTAATTGCTTATAACAGAAAACTTAACCTAAAGGACTTCAAACAATAAGGGAAATGGGATTATATCTTCTATATATAACAAGAAGTCCTGAGGCAGTTAGCTTCAGGGTTCTTTTTATATTTCCACTCTGCTATCTCTAGCTTGTCTTGTAGGCTGCTTCCTTCATGGTCAGAAGCTGGCTGCTACAGTTCTAACAGCGGAAGATGGACCATTTCCTCCTAGGTGTCTCCTTTATTGGTGAGCAAGCTTTCTCAGAAGCCCCTAGACTTCTCATTGCCAGAATTTTGGCACATGCCCTTTTCCTAACTTATTAAATGACTAGACTGACTTAAATTTATCAAGGTCTGTCTTTCTTGGTCTGCACATTGTGTAACCTTCCCTGGGAATGTGGTATGAAGGGAAGGTAAATACCCAAATAAAAGTCTGCTAAAAACTTCGATTGTACAGATAAACCCTAATGACCTCTAGGAACAAGAATACCCATCCAGTAGTGGATTATTATCTCTGTTATCATCAGCCTGGACTCTCCTTTTTCCTATAATTTACTTTAGGGTTTTTGAGCATATTTTCTTTTTTAATTTTGATTTTATTTATTTACTTGAGAGAGAGAGAGCGAGCACAGAGGGAGAGGGAGAAGTAGACCCCTGCGGATCAGGGAGTCCGATGTGGGACTCGATCCCAGGACCCTGGGATCATGACCTGAGCCAAAGGCAGACACTTAACTGACTGAGCCACCCAGGTGCCCTTTGAGCATATTTTCTTAAAGTAAGTGTCATTTATGCTTCTCTGTCAATAATAAACATTACCTTGAAACTCATTCTGCATATCTTTTTGCTCTTTTCCTTTCAGGCTTTCTAGCTTTCAGTATGGTTGTGCCTATCAACAAGGAGGGCTTCCTCAGTTCATTTTTTTTATTTTCTACTTTCAGCTTTCAGTTTTGATAGTTTATTGCTTTTGAGGTATTTCTGGGGAATGTATCCAGGTTTTATGAGCGTGGCACCGTGGGCTGCCTCAGGTCATAAATTTGTGTCCAAAGATACAAAGAGCTCATCTGGGCTCTTGAGAGAAGCTTGCCGATGACTGTTCTGCCTGATGTTTTGTGTATTTAACTGGTAGCTGTTGTCCACATTATGGATTTAAGTAAATCAAGTTATTTTCTAACATTTTTAAAGCAGGCAATGGAAACTTTTTATAAATAGATTGTTACAGGGGTTAAAGTAGTTAAAACAGGGAGCTCATTAGAAGGGTGTGGCAAGGGGTGCCTGGGTGGCTTAGTTGGTTAAGCGACTGCCTTCGGCTCGGGTCATCATCCTGGAGTCCCGGGATCGAGTCCCGCATCGGGCTACCTGCTTGGTGGGGAGTCTGCTTCTCCCTCTGACCCTCCTCCCTCTCATGCTCTCTGTCTCTCATTCTCTCTCTCAAATAAATAAATAAAATCTTTAAAAAAAAAAAAGAAGGGTGTGGCAGGCAAACCAAAACCTAAGCCAGAGACCATACACTGAAATCTAAGAAAAGCAAACTCAAGAAGAGGGAATTTGGATCCATGGAGAGGCACCCTGGGAATGTGCACACCAAAGGAAGACCGTGTAAGTACACAGGAAGAAGATGGCCATTAGCATAGCAAAGAAACAGGTCTCAGAAGAAACCAGCCAGCAGACACTTGGAGAACTGTGAGAAAATGAATTTCTGTCATTCAAGCCACCTAGTCTGTTCATGTATAAACACTGTCGGATATATTAGGTCCTTTTTGTTTTTGATAGATGCCACACTAATTTGTCCCACACTAATGTGTGTGCACATGTGTGAGTTTTAATTCGTTAGATGATAAAGTTCAGCTACTATCAGGAAAAATAATTTCTACTGCGTGTAATTTGACCATAGATACGGATGTTGGAATATTCTGGCACTTGAGCGTCAGTGTGTGAACAGCTAGAGAAACTCTTGCACGTAGTGCCCCCAGATGCCGATACTGCCAGTAAGGATGTACACCTCATACTTGTTAGTGTTAGTGTAAGACGGGTATCTTTGTGGTATGTGTGTGGACCTTATTCTGACACCTTCATATGGAAAGTAAATAGCAAATATGACAAAACAATGCAAATTGATAAAACGAACAAAATATTTTTCAAAGATATTTATACTGTACCAAAGTAAACCCACATACATATTCATACACCAAAATATAAAAGTTACCATTTCAGAAGAAGAAAACTGAAAATGAGAATGGTTATCTCAGGTTTTAGTTTGAGAATTTATAATAAAATGAGGAATTTTCTGGTGTGTGTGTATATATATATATATACATACACGTGAATATATGTGAAAAACCTAAAAATGTAGAAATACATTAAGTAGTTGTGTCACTATTTTCATTGTAAAATTTTTTATGTTTAAGATAGAGGAAAAAAATACAAGTGAAGAGTACTCAGTATCGTGGATTTGTCCTAATTCATTTCATCATTCCCTTATTGGTAGATACTGAGATAGTTTCTAGTTCTAATTAAAGCTTTCAGAGCTTTGGAGAAAAGCTCACTTTTGTGAACTCACATCATCGGGAAATATACTATCCTTTCATTTTCTACATGATAAATTAATTTCCAGTTAGCTTTCCCATCTTGCTAGAAGGGAGAGGAGTGCTGATAAGTCCCTTGTAGACCTATTTTCGCTTGGGTTTGGTTACGGTTCATGGATGTTCCAGATTGGTGGACATGGTAATTACAGAGAGGAGGTCATGTTTGTCAGAAAAATACGTTTCTTCGTTCAGAAGGATTCCGCAGACCTGTCTGCTCGCTAATGCCCGTGGTGCTTCCAGAGGCTGTATGCAGCTTTCTCAGTGAAGGGAGTACAGAAGGTAACCACTGCCCACGGGAAGGTTAAAACCTCCATTTGGGATTCCAATTGTTTTCTCCTTCCTCTTGCATTAATATTGTCCCAGACAGGATGATTTCTTTGTTCACTGTCCTTTAAGTTGCACTGATTCTGCATCAAAAGAAGAGGCCTGGACCAGGCTCTGAGAATGACTTCCTTCTGAAACTGAGGCCCTGGTGAGCTTTGTAGCATATGGAACACAGCCTGAAAATCATCTTCACTGAAGCACAGTCGGGGTCCTGGAGGGTTCTCTTTCTGTGGATTAGGACTCAGAAAAGGTAGCTTTTCCTGAAGGTCTGTGGTAACAGGAGCTGACATAAGGCCTGAGGTTTCTGCACATTGCTGGTGCGGTTGGCTGAGGGAATGGGATGGTTCTCCAGTTGATGGTGCGCTGCAGCCATGTGTGTCTCAGTGTGTCCCTTCTCGAGGATCCCATTTTGCAGTCAGAGCCTGGCAGACCTCGTCCCACCGCTGCAGAATGTAAGGTATGTCCACCTGCTGCAGATCCTGCAGCTGGTCTTCTTGGTGCTCAGGATGAGGCTCACAATAGCCCTTCAACTGCAGTACTCCTGTGCCAGTCTGTTCTTCGTGATTCTGGCATTTTTCTTGGTTTGGGAGCCAGAAAGGAGTCTGAGTATCTGAGAGGTCCCCTCCTGAAGTTGAGGGTATTGGCAGGTGATTCCTAAGGGTCTAAGGAGAGACAGAATTCTCTCCTCTCTGCATAGCCTGCTTGGGCGGCACCATCATGACACTTGGTCCTTGGCTCACACAAGGGACAGAGGACTCATGGGATGGGAGAGGAGCAGGGAGAAATGTCTGGTTCCTGCTGAAAGAATCGGAGGAAGCAAAATGATGAGACCTGCCCAGGGGAGTGGACAGATTGATTTGGTGTTGCTGAGCTGTCAGACCTGGTCTTCCATTTGGGCCATCTGCCAAGGAATTCACGGACTCATTTCTGCTCTGCTGTGGGTATAGGGATCTTTGGTTCTGAAACCACATCTATGTGAAGAAAAAAGAGAAGGGGATGTCATAAGACATGTGACTGTGGCTCTGTTTCTCGTACTGCGTAAAGCAAAGGGGCTATTAATACAGGCCCCAATATCAGAAATATAAACATATGTGTGAAATACATTACTCTGGTTTATGTGTTTAGTATGTATATGTATAAATAGGTATGTACAAATGTGTGTGTATACATATACAAACATAAATTGAGGTCACAGCACACTCAGCAATCAACTACAGAGGAATTGAAACTGGCTGAAAAGGCATATGATCTAGATTCCTCCCTTTAATTTCAACAGTGGATTAGAAACAGATTTTCTTGACCAGGTTGACATTTTTCTTTTTGCCAACGTGTGCAAAGAATCCCTATCTTATATGCACATGTGTAAATCTGATCAAGGATTAATGAGTGCAGGCCTTTGGAGGGTTTCTGTGCTGATAAACCATAGTGCTACTTAGTCATGAGCATTTAACACATACTAAACTACTGTCCCCATAACTTTAGAAGGTACCCAATGGGAGTGACTTTGTTCTCCCAACTGGAGGACATTTGAGTAAGTATATAGAGTTTTGGGGGTGTCACAAATTGGGGGAGGTAGGTGGGCAGGGTATCTAGTTGGTAGAGGCCAAGAGTGCTGAAAAATACCTACTAGGCACAGGACAGCCTCACAAGAAAGGAATTATCTGTACCAAAATAACAGTTCCAAGCTGTAGAAAACCTGATGGGGTTCTCAAAATAGGTATTAACTTTCACATTTCCCCACATTTTTGCTGCTGGTGATTTCAAATGGGTATACCACTGACAGAATTCTTCATTTTGCAGGAGTGTGACTTGCAATGCTAGATGCTTACCATCCCATACCTTTACGTAACCTCCATGATTGGGATAATCCAGTACAGGTCAAAGTTTTTCAGCAACCCATTGGGGGAAATACCACAGGTAGAACATATTTCATGTCACAGACACAGAACTTACTTGAATTCTTGGTTCCTGAATGCCTGTTTTTTTAGCCAGTTTTTTCCTGGTTGTAATATCAAGGAATCGGTTCCTCTCAAAGGCTTGAAGTAGGATGTGTGATTGAGATCTTGTGATGGATGTCCAGTCTTGTCTGGCTGCTTTTGGTAAGTATTCTAAAGGAGAACATGGGAACAGAAGATGTCTTTTAGAACAGTTTTCATGTTTGAACTAGAAACTTGGGAAGATCATGCTGATTACACTTATTCTTCTTGAATCCCTGATGGTGACAGAAGAGGATGCCACCCTGCTTAGAGCAGCTGGACCAAAAGGCCCAGAGCCTTGCTTGCTAAGAACCTGCCTGTCCTAGCCAGCTGTGGGACCATGCTTATATTTCTGACACTAGGGTGCCCAGAGCAAGCTGTAAATGCCTCTCAAGATAATGATTTTTTGTCAGGAACATGGGCACAACGTGCCAAGTTGTTTGCACTTTCACCGGGACCTATTGAAGAAATGCATTTGTATCAGTGGTTTCTTACCTTGAGTCCAAGGCTGATGATGGTGTTGTCCTTGGGTTTCGTCTTTTCCTAAGGAGCATCCAAATTCCAATTGTCTCTGTTTCGATCTGTGGTTTTTAAACCAAATCTAAGTGGGAGAAGAAGATGTGAAAATTGTGTAATTCAGTCTGTGTCAAACCAAATATCAATGCAATTAAAATTGATTTGATCAACTGCCATTGCAGTAATATCCATAAGAAGAATGTGATGTATTATCCTAGGAGTTATATTACTATTAGCATACAATTCAGTACAGCATTTCTTCTATCGTTGTTGTCATGATATCTCAAGAAAAATTCCCTGATTTGAGAGACACTCGCCGTTCAATCAAAGACCAATATTTCTTTTTCTCCGTCTCCCACCTCTCTCTCATAACAGGTCTTCAATGTGTGAATGTCTTTTCTTGGCCTATCGTCTCTTTATAAGAAATACCATTTTATAATGTATAATACATATAGCATTGATTGTGGAAAAGAATTTCCTTGTTTTTTAAAGTATGTGAGCAGGGTAGGGAGGGGCAGAGCGAGAGAATCTTTTTTTTTAGATTTATTTATTTTAGAGACTGCGAGCCGGGGGGAGGGGCAGTGGGAGAGGGGGAGTAGCAGACTCCTTGCTGAGTGTGGAGCCCTACTTGGGGCTCCATCTCACAACCCTGAGATCATGTCTTGAGCTGAAATCAAGAGTTGGACAGTTAACTGACTGAGCCAGCCAACTGCCCCAAGAATATCTTTAAATGGTGAGTAAATTAGCAACAGTTGAGCTGTACTAACACTCATCAACATTCCCTCTTTTCCTATAATCAGCAATAGATAAGGAGACTCCTGGACCCTGTACACCTTGCTGCGAAACTCTTGTCATGAATATAACTCGTTGAACTTCTTGTTTCCTCATTTTTGGAGTTGGATTTGCAGTGTGCTTTCTAACTTTTTGAGTGTTTTATTTTGATAATTTGTGATAAGATTTAGGGTGTTAATGACCACCAATATTTAACAAACCACTCCTTTATCCAGGCATTGTGCTAAAAGGTTATCTCTGCTCTAAATTAATTAAAATATTTTCAGGTAAGTCTTAAGCACATCACCAGATATTCCCATAGGATGCCCTTTTATTACTGGGGTTTGAGTAAACTGTGTCTTTACACCCAGAACAAATGAATGAAGAGTAAGGAAAAATTTCTCCCCAGCATCCCTCAGACTAAGGACCTTATAGCCAATGGCTAATGGGAGACTCTATATAGACACAAAAATCTGAACTTATTATTTTCCTCTAGGAGCACATTTTTACTGATCTTCATTGTTTTAAATGCTGTCTCACCTGGTATAGTTGTATTGTTTACAATTATCGCCTTGCTAACTGAAGAAATCCAGCTTCATTTCATTTTCACATCAGTAGCTCTATTCAAGTAATACAATATGGGATTTTACTTCATATACTTCTGTGTGTGAATCACACTTCAGGTATTTAAAAAAAACTAGCCTGAAAATTGGGAACATATGTGAGTTCTTGTCCCACAGTTTCCTCATAATCACGTATTAATCCTCATTTTGCAGTATATATCAATATTTTTTTAAAGATTTTTTATTTTTAAGTAATCTCTACACTCAACGTAGGACTTGAACTCACAGCCCTGTGATCAAGCATTGCTTGCTCTACCAACTGAGCCAGCAGGGTGCCCCAGTACATATCAATACTTAATGATAACTTATTAACATAGTGTTATAATTTCCTAAATTACCTAATCTTAAAAATTGATTTGTCTCCTATTGGGAGAGCCTGGACCAGTGTATTCTCTTCTCATTAGTGAATATACCCAACCAATATTTCCACAATTGGTAAAACAGTTCTTGTTTTTAATATACAATAAAAACTTTCTGAGCAACATACCTGACATAAGAATTGCCTGGGGGCGCCTGGGTGGCTCAGGTTAAGCGTCTGCCTTCGGCTCAGGTCATGATCCCGGGGCCCTGGGATCGAGCCCCACCTCAGGCTCCCTGCTCCACGGGAAGCCTGCTTCTCCCTTTCTCACGACCCCTGCTTGTGTTCCCTCTCTCACTGTCTCTGTCAAATAAAATCTTTAAAAAAAAAACAAAAAACTGAAAATCCTGAGCCCAGCCTTTATCTTTACCTTGAATCTGACAGATAGTGAAATAGAAACCTAATGCTTACCTGAATTTTGGCCTCCGGAATGCCAATTTCCTTGGCCCATTGTTTCCTGGTAGCTCTATCAGGGTAAGGGTTTTGTTTAAACCATTCTTGGAGGATATCCTTTTGACTCTGGTTGTAAACAATCCTGCCTTGCCAGGTTTCTTTTTGTAGTATGCCTGATGAAGAGAAAATGGGAAGAGGGATATGGAAGATAAGTTTATGGATTAAAAACTCCATGTAAGCATAAGTTTACATGACATGTAAACCTTACTATCAATGATGGACATAAACATAAGTCTTAACTTTTTTTTTCCAGGTTGAAACCTGTAGGTTTAACAATGATTCTATATTTTTACTTTAGTGGTACAGCTACTAAAGTCATGCTAAATTGGAGACATATAAGTAAAATATGTGTGTATAATAGAAAAAAATTACAATCTGTGATCTGAGTTACTGAAAATCCATAAAATTAAATGCAGAGAAAATAGGAAGCAATAGGAGCTAGGAAAATTAATGGAAATAAACAAGTAAGACCTTAAAAAATTGAGATAAAATACACAGTAACTGGTACTTTGTGATAAAATACATTTTAATATAAAATACTAGGTATTCCATATATATATGTTTTCTCCATTTACAGTGTCAACTTTAGAACTTTTGACAACGCACTTGTGAGACTTATGGCTATTATCTTAAATTTGAAATTCCAGTCTCTAACTTTTTTTTTTTTTAAGATTTTATTTATTTATTTGACAGAGAGAGATAGTGAGAGAAGGAACACAAGCAGGGGGAGTGGGAGAGGGAGAAGCAGGCTTCCCCTTGGAGCAGGGAGCCCGATGCCATGACTCCTGGGATCATGACCTGAGCCGAAGGTAGACGCTTAATGACTGAGCCACCCAGGTGCCCCCCAGTCTCCAACTTTAAAGCACCCATCAATCCTAATACAACTTATGGATGCAAACAGCTCCTGCTTGCAACAATTTGCCCCTCTAATCATGATTGTGATTTTTAACTTTTATAAATTCTGGAAAATAAAGCATGTGGCATTATCAAAGAGAGCAAAATGCAGACGAAAACTTACTGTTTTGAGTGCTGTTCAAATCCATCTTGGGAAGAGCTTCCTGGATCCGACAGAGGTGAGTGGGCAACCGAGCAGCAGTCCAAGACACCGGGCTTATCAACACCCAGGGTGATCCACCCATTTCTTAAATACCCTTCTATTTAATCCCTTCATTAAATGTTTAACACTTTCAGAAAGAAACTTGAAGTAATCAGATTAAGTACAGATTCTACCAGGCAATTTTACCTCTATCCTAATGTCTTTCCAAATCTGACTTAGAATCTGTGCTCTCTAGTTTACACACACACACATAGATACATTTATAAATGTTTTGGTACTCTTGCTTTTTGATTATTTTGGCTTGATATAATACTGTATGGATATACATACTTCACTTTATATTTTTCCTCAGTTCTTACTGAAACACTTTTTAAAAAAGATTTTATTTGAGAGAGCACGAGTGGAGGGGGAGAGGGACAGAGAGAGAGGGAGAAGTAGGCTCCCCACTGAGCAGGGAGCCCGATGCGGGGCTCGATCCCAGGACCCTGGGATCACGACCTGAGCCACAGGCAGACGCTTAACTGACTGAGCCACCCAGGTGCCCTTGAAACACATTTCTTTCCATTACTGACAGTAAGGTTTACATGTCATCTTGGCTAGTCTATACTCCATAGTTACTCAAAAAAACACGAATCTAGGTTTCAAAGTATTTTGTCGATTGATTGAATTACATGATCAGTTGGATTTAAGTAGATTATCCTTGATAATCTGGGTGGGGCTGATACAATCATGGAAAATTTTTTTTTTTAGATTTTTATTTTATTTATTTGACAGAGAAGGAACACAAGCAGGGGGAGTGGGAGAGAGAGAAGCAGGCTCCCCACTGAGCAGGGAGCCCGATGGGCTCAATCCCAGGAGCCTGGGATCATGACCTGAGCCAAAGGCAGATGCTTAGCGACTGAGCCACCCAGGCACCCCAGTCATGGAAAAGTCTTCAGAGCAAAGCTGGGCATTCCTGGAGGAAAAGAAATCACAGCTGAGGACAGCAGCTTCATTGCCCCGTGAGAGAGTTTCAGCCCTCCATAGGATCTGACCCAGAAATTTCGTTCTTGCCTATCCAGGTGCTACAATTGTATAAGCCAACAATAGCAAATGTGTTTATGTATATGTATATATACATACGCGTACATGTGTATGTATAATTTCACTGGTTTCCTGTGAGTTCAGATGCTATTGCTCTCTATCTCTGGTTGAGGCTAAATGATACAAATGTTAGCCCTGGAGGCAGTTCTCTAAGAACAGACTTACAGATATTTGTATATATTACAAATAATTTAAATATATATAAATACAATAAGTATTTGGGTCACCTGGCCAGAATCAAAACCATGTGAGGTGGTTGCTGAAATATGAATTGGTAGTGGAAGAAAATTGTTAAGAATACCAGCTACTTACCTTGTGACCATTTGCAGAATCAAGGATATACTAGTTATGAGAATTTTGCTATGAATCTGTATATAGATTAAAATATTTTGTTTTCTTCCCACAGTTATCCCCTAATGATCCATTAATAATAGTTACCTTTATTATTTCGAGTAGGCTCCATGCTCAACTTGGGGGCCTGAAATCATGACTCTGAGATCAAGAGTCATGCTTTAGTGCCTGAGCCAGCAGGCATCCCAATAATAGTTCACTTTAAAGATTTAATTTTTTTTATTTTAGAGAGAAATAGCATGAGCAGGGGGAGGTGCAGAGGGAGAGGGAGAATCCCAAGCAGACTCCACGCTGAGCACAGAGCCCCACATGGGGCTTGATCCCAGGATCCTGAGATCATGACCTGAGCAGAAATCAAAAGTCAGACTGAGCCACTCAGGCACCCCAATATTTCACTTTAAATCACCATATTTAAGGAGTATCAAAAGAGAAGGATGCACATTGCTCAAGGATGTTGCATCTTCTTTTGGGGAAAGGATTAGTGTGTTTCTGTTGTAGGCAGGATAGTTGTACTTCATTAGGCAGAAATATCACTGTTATTATTTTTGTATTGGAAGTCATTTATGGTTTCAGGAGAGGTGTATGGCTTACAGCTCAACAAGGTGTAGACAGAAATGGCTAGTTTTTTTTTTTTAACTTTTTATTGTTATGTTAATCACCATACATTACATCATTAGTTTTTGATGTAGTGTTCCATGATTCATTGTTTGTGCATAACACCCAGTGCTCCATGCAGAACGTGCCCTCTTTAATATCCATCACCAGGCTAGCCCATCCTCCCACCCCCCTCCCCTCTAGAACCCTCAGTTTGTTTTTCAGAGTCCATCGTCTCTCATGGTTCATCTCCCCCTCCGATTTCCCCCCCTTCATTCTTCCCCTCCTGCTATCTTCTTCTTCTTTTTTTCTTAACATATAATGTATTATTTGTTTCAGAGGTACAGATCTATGATTCAACAGTCTTGCACAATTTACACTGCTTACCATAGCACATGCCCTCCCCAAGGTCTATCACCCAGAGAAATGGCTAGTTTTATGTGTCAGTATGGCTAAACTACAGAACTTAGTTATTCACTCATCTAGGTGTTTCTGTGAAGATATTTTGTAGAAGTGATTGACGTCCATGATCATTTGACTTTAAGGGAGATTATCCTATATAATCTGGCTGGGCCTGAGTCCATCAACTGAAAGGCCAAGAGGATAGAGTGGAGACTTTCCTGTGAAGACATTCTTCCTGTTAATTGATGCTTCAGCTCATGCTCAAGACTTCAGCCCATACAAGGAATTTTGGAATTGCCTAGTGAGTCTCTACAGTCACATAAGCTAATTCCTTGCAATTAATCACTGTATATACTGATTGTTTCTCTGGTTGAATGGCTGAACTCTGCCTGATACAATCACCAAATTGCTTATTTGGAAATGATGACATTTAACAGGAAAAAAGTATATTTGTGGATTTGTCATGGAGACAAACCATGGGTGGTGGAAAACTTTATTGAATCCTAGAAAAATGGCTACTGATGTTATGCCACTATAAATTTTTTTTGGTAAAGCTATGTTAGCTGTGAAAACCTGGCAGGCAGAAAATGGGTGAAACCCTCTTTTGCCTTGAATTATGGATAACAGAATATTTCTGTCATGATTCCTATGCTCTTGGCCACTATTGCCTAGGAATATTTAGGAAGAAAAGAGCTCAGAAAGGAATGTGTTAATAAAGGCATATTCTATTACTATGGGAAAAAAAAGGAAAGGAATATGTTGTTCAATGGGAAGAAGGGTAGGAGATAGAAGGAACTCACCAACTTCAGGGTAAGGGGTACAGGTAGATTTTATATTCATTTAAATGAAGATGTAAAAACTTGGAGACATACTTTTGGAGAAAAATTTTATACATAGTTAAGAAATGCAAAAATCAAACCTGGGTTGTGATTTAAAACCTTTGGTCTACGGCAATGATTGCGTTGAAACTTCTACCAGTAAATCATTCCTCTGTTATTTAAGCATTCCTCTAAACTGCCACAGAAAAAAAAAATGAAGTGTGCTTTTGCCACAGACAACTGATAAGCTTAAGATATTTTAGTTAAGGTGAGAGAAAAATTAGGCATAATGAGTTAGGGGGTGGGCTAATTGCACCTGGAAGTAAATGGAATCAGGTTAATTGGTTCATACTTGTGTGTGTTTTCCTTTTTTTTTTTTTTTTCTCTACTGCAGTCTCTAGGGTCCTTACTAATGAGGCCAAGCAAGATAAGGGACAACCAAGGATCTGGTCTGGGGACTTCAGCCAGGAAGCAGA